TTTTAATATCCCAATAGTTGGAAAAATGTCGAATGGGGCGAAGCTCCATCACGATTTTCAGTTTAATGAAAATGCACTTGAAGTGTGATAATATTTTCTATTTTATTTTCTTTGTGTGAAAATTGTGGCATTTTTCTCAGGTTGGTGTTGCAGTTAGGTGTACATGTTTGACTCCGACTGCAAAGAAGGGTTGGGATTTGCAGTTCATATCTTGAGTTATCATTCAAGGGTTGGTGTTGCAGTTGGATGATCTCATGACATTTTCAATTGTTGATAATAGAGATGTCTTGGAATAAGACATCAGCTTTTCACCAACACTAGAGAAATGTTAAAACTTAAAACTACCCATTTTTAAACTTTTCAAACTACTATAAATTTCTTGGACTATAATTGTCCACAAATAAAACCAAAACAAGGAAAATTAATCACCATTTGAGGCATTTTGTTTTTCCAAATATGCTTTAATATATACACCATTAACATTTGTTGCCCACAAATGCTTTCAACAGATGAGCATAACAAACTATAGTCCAACCTAAAAAACCTACTTGAGCTCCATTTATTTTTCTTCTAAATATTCTTCCATGGGTAATATAAATTTACAGCAGTGGATTGTATCATTTGATAACCTATAAACCACGACTTCGCATAATCGGCATTCAAGCCCGACACACCGAATATAATCAGAAGTCGAACAATTCTTCGATAATCTCCATTTCATTGCACGGTAATCACACGTGGCTGGTGCAAAGTAAGTTGACCATCTTCTTCATCAGGCACAGAGGTCAACACATTAGCCTATCATTCACAATCAAGCATGAACAAAAATCATTCCAAAAGTTTCTTTTTTAAAAAAATAAAATAAAAAATATTGCTATTTGTTTACCTGGTGTCGTCGACGTATAATGGAAGTGACTGCTTTCAGTATTATGCAAATCGGGACAATAATCCCAGCAATCCTTAGCATTAATAGCTGTTAAATAGACAAAAATCTTATGTAAGGAAATTTTCGTGCTCGTGTTTTATAAGAAGCAGAATTTACATTCCCTTTTGTTTTTTTAATATATATCTTACCACTATCAGTGGGAACGAGTAATTCCCTCCTCGATTAACTATGACAGGAAGAGTATGCCGCAAAATTAAGAGAACCATAAACTGCATAAGAGAAATGTGGAAAAAAATATTTAATAAACAGAAAATGAAGTGCAAACCATTGACAGAGAGAGAGAGAGAGAGAGAGAGAGAGAGAGAGAGATAGAGAGAGAGAGAGAGAGAGAGAGAGAGAGAGAGAGAGAGAGAGAGAGAGAGAGAGAGAGAGAGAGAGAGAGAGAGAGAGAGAGAGAGAGAGAGAGAGAGAGAGAGAGAGAGAGAGAGAGAGAGAGAGAGAGAGAGAGAGAGAGAGAGAGAGAGAGAGAGAGAGAGAGAGAGAGAGAGAGAGAGAGAGAGAGAGAGAGAGAGAGAGAGAGAGAGAGAGAGAGAGAGAGAGAGAGAGAGAGAGAGAGAGAGAGAGAGAGAGAGAGAGAGAGAGAGAGAGAGAGAGAGAGAGAGAGAGAGAGAGAGAGAGAGAGAGAGAGAGAGAGAGAGAGAGAGAGAGAGAGAGAGAGAGAGAGAGAGAGAGAGAGAGAGAGAGAGAGAGAGAGAGAGAGAGAGAGAGAGAGAGAGAGAGAGAGAGAGAGAGAGAGAGAGAGAGAGAGAGAGAGAGAGAGAGAGAGAGAGAGAGAGAGACTCACTATTATGGCAACCGAGCGGCAGCAAACTATGCTACGTGATGTAGAAACCTCATAATCATCATAGTCTGCATTCAGTAAACTGTGATCGGTTGAGACCATTGCAATAATGTGAGGATTGTTCAAGTCTCTTCTAGAGATATGCCAATTTCCCCTGTGATAACAATAAACTGGGTTCACTTACAAGGAAAAACTTTTAAACTAATGCATAAGTTCAAACACCCACACAACACCATCAAGTTGGAAGATATCTCTCATTTTTTATTTTTTTTTTATTTTTTCATAAAAAGAAGACTACCTTATATTCACGGGAAGCCCACCGAACCGAGATATAGGGGGAGGCGCTGTATATCCTGGCTTGAATTGCTGCACAATTTGCATAAAAACAAAAGAAATCAGACTGCGCACAAAAACATATGCTGAATATAAAAACTTGCATTATGGTTTAATAACTAATACTTGCGCTTTAGCATAAACCCAACAAAACAGTACAAAATTAAGGCTCGCCTGATGGCATATCTCACAAATGATATCACCCTTCTCATTGCACCACCTTTGTACGCATTTTCGATGAGCATACTGGAAATAAAGAAAATTGGAAGGGTAAGCAGAAAATTAAAGCATGATAATGGTTCAAAAAAATCTTTTTTTATTTTTAGAACAATTTTTCCACCTAATAATAATTTACCCTTGTCAAAGCACAAGTGCATATAAGGTTGCATGAGATCGAGTAGAAATGTAAGAGACAATGCTTCATATCAAAGTCAAGTAAATAGACATCGTGTAGCATTACATAAAGCAATTGACCACGTATTTTGTCTAACAATGAGAAAGGAAGAAAAATGTCAGTTGAAGAAAAGACTGTGTCAAAACAATGCATCACTGTATCAATGAGGCTAAACAAAAACCTAATCTTTTAAAAGTCATTTCGCAATATTTTTCCTATAAACTCAATTCCTAAGGGAAAAAACAACTATGTAAGAAAAAACTTTAATGCATAAACTATGTAAGAAAAAACCTTTAAAAAAAGCTTTGGACTCAACCCCTATTCATGACAGATCATAAATCCAAAAAAAAAACACAATTATTTGATTTTAACAATTTCAACATCGGAAAATAAAGTACTAAAAGAAGGTTAGCAATTAATGGGAGTCAATACATTCTTCATGACAAAAGCATTAGCAAGAATACAACAAGAAAAGGGAAAAATAAACCTTTAAGCTCCCAGAGCAAGAGCAAGGAGCCTCCATATTCGTATTGAAATCTTCATCCTGGCAAATTCTGCACTCGACCAACTTCCTTGGGGATAAACTACTAGCTTCACATTTCTCATGAGCAGAACATTCTATCAATGTTTCATCAATTATCACTGACTTTTCCTGCTTTAACAAGTTTTGGCTCTCGATGGCGGCCCCTAAAGTTGACTCAGTCAACAAACGATCAACCAGCAAAACAAAGTGATCCCCCATATCCTTTTGTTAAGAAGGGTAATCTTATAAAATTGTTATTTTTGCCTGTCAAAAAAGTAGAGATTTTAAAATACTAGCCCGAATCTCACAGAAACAATAGCAGAAACTAATTGGAGCGAACAGGTTAGAATTTAAAGGCACATACACAAAATCATAAGGAAGAAAAAACTGTGTAGTTTTCTAATGGGAATTCAAAAAACTTGATAAATACACGATTTTGTGTTGGGACAGGACACAATTATAACTAACAACATTATAGCCATGTAGCTGCCGAACGTAGTCTGTAGGCCTCATCCAATTACAAATAATATATAAACAAACAAAAAAAATTACGAAAACACAAACAAAAGGCGGATTGAAAGGGAAAAGGAACAAAGAGAACTAGACATAACGACAATAAAGTTGGTTTTGCTTTCCATCAAGGGGGAAAAAAAGAAATAAAAGAAAATGGCCCTTGAAATGGAAATCTCCCCCAAACAAACCAACAACATAACTGCCAAACGAATTCAAATAAACAAAAACAAGATTAAAAAACCAAGACCAAAGAGAAAACATATCCAAGAAAGAGGAAAATCACGCATACCCAGAAGCGAAAAAAGTGATTTTGATCTCCGAACAATTTTAAATACAAGGGAAAACTATAGACGAAGCTGTTAGAAAACTGTATGAACATACCAAAAACCAGAACAAATAAAACATTCGAGAAATACAGTCAGGCAATTGGGACGAAAATCAAAAGAATACCCAGATAGGAGAAGAAAAAATGCGATCTTTAGCACAAAAGCGGTTTTAAATGCAACGAAAGATTCACACAAGATTACGGAAATTTAAGGGTATATACATAAGGAAAGAGGAAGTTTAAGGGATTAAAAAAGAGACTTACAAGATGGGAATTGGATATCTGAAAGCTAAGAAAGCTTTCTCCTTTCTTTAGCTGAAGCAAGAGATGGAGTGTTGTTGTATTTTCACTGTAATTCAAAAATGGTGCCCATATAGGCATATACAATTGCTCTTTGCAAATGTCTACAAATCTATATATGCAGATAGAGAGAACGGGGTTTCCTTTTCATTTCAAACTAGTATTCGATACTGTGCATTTGCACAGATACAAATAAAATTAAATATTATAAATTATATTTATGTATATAATATAAAAATTATAAGTTATATAATTGTATTATATTTCAAACATATAGTATTATAAGTTATATTTATGTATATAATTTTAAAATTATAAATTATATAATAGTATTATATTTTAAAATTTGATCATTGGTTAAAATAAATAGTACACACGATTTGATTGTATACGAATCACTATATTGATTGCATAAAATGTAATAAATATATACTTTTTATAATTTTGAGTGATCATGACCAATTAATTAGCTGAAAAATATTACATTTATTATAACAATTGCTTATGTGATTTTAAGAAATTTTAATATGACATAAAAAAATTAATTTATTAATAAACAACATCTTCATCATATAAAAAAATATTGATTTTAGTGTAAAATATAATTTTATGTAACTTTCATATATTATTTAGTATAAAATATAATTACTAATTTTAATATTAACTATTATATTATTCAATAAAAAATATAATTATTAATCAATTAACATAAAATATAATGGTTTTTGTCTTAATTAACCCAAAAAAATGTAATGAAATATTTTCTTATTAAATGAGATTGGGTGGATTAATGCCACAT